ACCAAATTTAGTACACTTAAACTTCCATATGTGGACTACCACTCCATCAAATTTTACGTAAAAAATCATGTGGGAAGGTAGTTAACAAAATGACTAAATTTCATGAAATTTTCAAAGCAAATCTGCCAACCCACTCTTTCTTTCTTTTCAAAAGTTTGGTACAATGAAATCAGCCCCAAATTGATCCATTTTTGAAACCAAAGTTCTAGAAACATTTAATAAGCAATTTATGGGTAATTGACATCAAAATTTTCGAGAAAAAACATCCCGAAACAAACCTGACCATTCAGCTAGCAAGAAGGGAAAAACTTTCCAATTTCTAGCTTTGCTGCACTTTCGAAATCTGGCCACATCTCACTCAACACAAGTTCAAATTAAGAATGGTTTACGGCGTTGTAAACTAGGTTCAAAATGTTACATTTCATCAGAAAGAGTCGTTTCCAAAATCAGTTCACAATTAAGAGAAAATCAAGCCATAATTTGCAGCTTCTCCATTCCTCTCGGACAGACAGTCACAACCGGACGGTCAACTTTGCTGAATCACTATGGTTCACTCAGTTCGAACTAGCAGATGATTTTATATACCGTTAGAAAGTTATGAATGTCTAGTTTCAAATACCACAAACGGCACTCTATTGTGACTTTTGTACAAAGAGATATGTTCAGACAAATAACTACTGTTCAGCTACACTGATCACCTATTCCAGATTTCTTTCTTTTTCGAAACCCTAGTTTTGAGCAACCAAATGAAATGATTTTTGCAAGGCACATTCTACACACTGTATACAATGTATAAACATCAATTTCACAGCCAAACAAGCATCAAAATTTCGAATTAAAATAGAGCATCATGGACAGAATTTTCGGTCAGCTCTAATCTCACACATTTCTCAACTTTCTCTCCCCTTTCTAACCGTGATCCTCTCATATAACACATAAACACAATAATCAAGCATTTAATCCTCAATTCAGCTACCTATAATCCACCTCAAGACCGCTAGCCTAGAGATTAAGGTGAGAAATGAAACTCCTCAAGTCCCCTAGCCTATTTCTTGCTTAGGGTTTCAAACCCATGCAAAACTAACCATGATTCTTGAAGAAAATGGAAAGACTAGAAGAGTTAAAGGGTTACCTCTAACCCTAGATGAAAAATCAGATTTTTCCACCACAAATCCTCAAGAAGCTCCACAAGATGTTGTCTTTCTCCAAGCTAGAACTAATCTCCAAAGGTTTTGTGAGTTTGGTGAAGATTTTCAAGTAAAATGGAAGCAAAAATTGGAGCAAGATGAAGAGAGCTTTCTTCCCTCCTTTTCTTTCTTTGGGTCAGCCAAACAAGGAGTGAGAGAGAGAGTGTTTTGAGTGATCAATCTTGCTTTGGAAGCTTGAAGAAAATGTGACCAAGAAACTTTACAAAAGTCAACTTTGAATAGTGTTCAAATAGTGAGGTGCACTACCACTTTTCTCTCTTGTTTGTTTCAATTGTGCACTAATCCTCCAATGTAATTCCTTTAACACTGTAATTACTCACTCTTACGAGTCTAGTATTGATTTCTCAAATCTCCACTTAGTTGTTCTGATACGAAATACGCGACCTTTCGACTCGCGCACGATAGAGCAAAATTTAAAAGCAATTCATGCAACGATAATATAATTAACTAACTCTAGGGTAAAGAATTATGAAAATGACTATTTTAAAAATAAAAACATGAGTCCGCACATCCTCTCCCCCTTAAAAGAATTTCGTCCATGAAATTCATACCTTGTTTTGGAAATAGATCTGGGTATTTTCCTCGAATTTCTTTTTCTACTTCCCAAGTTGCTTCCTCTAGTCCGTGGTTCTTCCATAGAACTTTCACCAATAGAATTCGCTTATTCCTCAGTTCTTTCACCTTCCGATCCAGAAGCTTTATTGGTTTCTCCTCATAGGTCAGTGCCTCATCAATCTCAATATTTTCCGGTTGTAGGACATGAGACGGATTTGGATGATATTTCTTAAGCATCGATACGTGGAAAACATTGTGAATCCGAGATAAACTTGGTGGCAGTTCCAACTTATAGGCCACGTTTCCCATGCATTGAAAAATCTTATAAGGTCCTACAAACCTGGGTTGTAATTTCTTTCCTTTTCTTACCATCAAACTTGTTTTGAAAGGGTAATCTTAAGAAAAACTTGGTCTCCAACCGCAAATTCTAAATCCTTCCTTTGATTGTCTGCATAGCTCTTTTGACAACTCTATGCAGTTTGAATCCTCTGACGTATTAACTTCACTTTTTCTTGCGCCTCTTCAATCCAAGGCACTGCAGTGGGGTCTAAAATCTTTCTTTCACCTATTTCATCCCAACAAATCGGAGACCTACATTTTCGACCATAAAGTGCTTCATACGGAGCCATTTGAATGGATGAATGAAAACTATTATTATAAGCAAACTCCACCAATGTCAAGTACTTACTCCAATTCTCCAAAATCCAAAATACAGGTTCTCAATAGTTAGAGTCTTTACCTCCAGAAAGGGGGATAGCTTTTAGGATTGATGTGACTCTAGGGGTAGCACCTATCTCTAAGATGCCGCACAGAATGGCACCAGCTGAATTGAAGGAGTTAAAATTGCAGTTACAGGATTTACTAGAACGAGGCTTTATAAAGGAGAGTGATTTACCTTAGAGAGCCCCAGTCTTGTTTGTTAAAAAGAAAGATTAGAGTTTAAGGCTGTGTATAGATTACCGAGACTTGAACGATGTTACCATTAAGAATAAATACCCTTTACCCTACATTGATGAGCTGTTCGACCAATTGCAAGGGACGGTTGTATTTCCGAAGTTGGATCTCAGGCAGGGTTACTACTAATTGAGGATTTTGGAAAAAGATATACATAAAACTACCTTTAACTCGAGGTATGGACAATTTGAGTTTGCCGTAATGCCGTTCCGGTTAACGAATGCACCTGCGACTTTTATGGATTTAATGCATCGAGTCTTTAACCCTTATCTGGACCAGTTTGTAGTGGTATTCATCAATGATATACTGGTGTACTCTAAGACCTTGGAGGATCACGAGAAACATTTGAGAATTTTTTACAAACTTTGAGGGAACATCAGCTGTATGCTAAGTTTAGCAAATGTGAGTTTTGATTGAAAGAAGTGACTTTCTTAGGTTATATAATTTCCAAGGACGGGATTAAAGTGGATCCAGCCAAAGTTGAAGCAGTCTCTAAATGGAAACGACCTGAAAATCCTACTGAAGTTCGAAACTTTATAAGGTTAACAGGGTATTACCGAAAATTTATCAAGAATATTTCTAAAATTGCTGGACCTATGACTGAGCTGACTAAGAAAAGTGAGAAATTTATATGGACTCCTAAGTGTGAAGAAAGTTTCCAAGAGTTAAAGAGACGTTTGATGAGAGCATCCGTATTAGCTCTACCGAATGGGAAGGATAGTTTTGTGGTCTACACAGATACTTCAAAGGAAGGTTTGGGATGTGTATTAATGCAAATGATAAGGTGATAGCGTATGCTTCTAGGAAATTAAAGCTGCACGAGAAAAATTACCCAACTCATGACTTGGAGTTAGCGGCTGTGGTGTTTACATTAAAAAAGTGGAGGCATTATCTATATGGAGTGACGTTTGAGGTTTTTACAGATCACAAGAGTCTTAAGTATTTATTTTCTCAAAAAGAGCTGAATTTGACACAACGTAGGTGAATGGAATTCTTGGAAGGCTATGATTGCACGATAAAGTACCATCCAAGAAAAGCCAATGTAGTGGCCGATGCTTTAAGTCGTCAAGTGCAAGTGGCAGGATTGATGATTAAAGAATTGCACTTGTTGGAAGAGGTTAGTTATTGGAATCCCCGACTTGAACCGAGAAAAGTGATCCTTGGAAATATTTTCATGAAATCCAATTTGTTGGAACGTATCAAGGAAACTCTGGGAAAGGACCCTGAAGTGCAAAAATGGTTCGAGAAAGTCAAAAAGGGAGAAAAGTCGGATTTTAATCTAGGAATGAATGGTGTATTGAGATTTCAGAATCGAATAGTAGTGCCAAAGGACGAAGGGCTTAAGAAAGAAATTTTGGAGGAAGCACGCCGATCTAAGTATACGGTACATCTTGGAGGGAATAAAATGTACTAGGACTTGAAGAGTTTGTACTGGTGGGGAACATGAAAAAGGAAATTACCCAGTTTGTCCAGACTTGGTTAATCTGCCAGCAAATTAAAGTCGAGCATCAGAAACCATCAGGTCTTTTGCAACCTTTAGAGATACCGAGTGGAAATGAAAAAATATAGCCATGGATTTTGTATCTGGATTACCTAGGACAAAAAGGGGTCATGATGCCATTTGGGTGATAGTAAATAGATTGACCAAATTGGCTCACTTTCTGCCGATTAGTATGAAATACCTGTTAGAGAAGTTAGCTAAATTATATTTGGATGAGATTATAAGGCAAATGGGATACCTGTAAGTATTGTGTCTGATCGAGACCCTAGATTTGTTTCACGGTTCTAGCAGAAAATGCAAGAAGTGTTGGGAACCAAGTTGAATTTTAGCACTACTTACCATCCTCAGACCGAATAGTCTCAGAGGACGATTCAAACTCTTGAGAACATGTTGAGAACTTGTATTTTGGATTTTGGAGAGAGTTGGAGTAAGTATCTGACATTAGTGGAGTTCGCTTATAATAACAGTTTCCATTCATCCATTCAAATGGCTCCGTATGAAGCTCTATATGGATGGAAGTGTAGATCTCCAATTTGTTGGGATGAAGTAGGTGAATGAAAGAGTTTAGACCCAACTACAGTACCATGGATTGAGAAGGCGCGAGAGAAAGTGAAGTTAATATGCTAGAGAATTCAAACCGCACAGAGTCGTCAGAAGAGCTATGCAGATAACTGAAGGAACGATTGGTATTAGACTCTTGTCCATGAAAAACCTAACCTAAACCTAACTAGTGCTTTGAAATTTTCTCTTCTTCTCTGTGTTGGGCGGCTAGGGCTTCCTCCATGGCAACCTCGGCTGCCCTTCAGCCTCAGGCTAGAGGGCATCCAAGCGCTTTGTCACGGCCTTCATTTCATAACAAAGCTTTCTCGTCACTTTTTTCTCCAGCAGATAAACTACCTCTGGAATTACAAATAGATGAGACGACGCGAAGAGGGGAGCCAGCAGTGGTTTTCTCTCCGATGGATGTGTCAAAAATTGCAGCTTCTTTTCAGTTGTCTCTGGTTGGGAAGTTCTCAAAGGGTCGCCCACCCATGGAGGATATTCGTAGGTTTTTCAAGGCATTGGATTTGAAAGGTGAAATATCAGTGGGTCTTTTAGATCAGAGGCATGTGCTGATCCGTCTTGGTAGTAAGAAGGATTTCCATAGACTTTGGGGAAGAAACGTCCGGTATGTGGTTGGATGCCCAATGCGGGTATTCAAATGGACTTCATCATTCCATGTAGACAAAGAGCCATCAACAGTTCCAGTTTGGTTTTCTCTTCCGAAACTACCGATCCACTTCTTCAAGAAGGAATGTCTGTTTCACATAGTCTCTTGCTTGGGTAGGCCATTGTTCATGGATGCTGCAACTACTTCGCTGGCGCGCCCAAGTGTGGCCCGTGTGTGTGTGGAGATTGACCTGCTGCAGCCTCTCCCCAAATGGGTGTGGATTGGAGTTGGGAAAGGTGACCCAGAGGGTTTTTTGCAAGTGCTGGAGCCTGAAAATTTGTCGTTGTATTGTTCTTTTTGTTTCTGCCAAGGCCATGACATGGGTGGGTGTCATGTTAAATACCCAGAGTTGCGGGCAGCTGTGCAGCATGAAAGCAACATCAGACATGAGACACAATGATGGGCTGCTGTGGTCTTTCGCCTAAGCAAGTCGGCAATGTCGAAAAGGAGGGAGGCGGGTTGATAGCAGATGAAAGTCTTAGTAACTTGGGCTGGCTTCCTTGCCCGAGAACCCTGCTACGCCTGCTGGTCCTTCGGCGGTAGCTGCCAGTGGAGGTTGTGCACCAACAGCAGCTGAGAAAGAGGAGGCACTGGGCAATCACCTGGCCCATCCAACGGCGGCACAGTTGAGCGTTGATTTGGCTGGGCAATCTTCTAGCGCACATGCTAAGGGAACCTTGCTGCCTCCTGTGATGGAAGCGGAGAAGGAGTTCCACCAGAATTGTGCTGGACAGGAGGTGCTGGCGACAAGCTCTTCCCCAACATTACCATGCGCTGGGGTTATGGTAGCGGCATGGTGGGGAACTCAACAGACTCTCAAGTTGCAGAACCAACCGAGTACGATCAGGATGGGGCGGAGAGTAACAGGTCTGATGAGCTTGCGGTGGGGTCAGAGAGGGAGGAGGTTCAGCATGTAGAGCATGTAGAGGGGAATTTGTCGCTGTTGTAACAGAGTGGTGGGTGTGCAGAAGGAGACTGGGTGTTTCGTTATTGATATTTTTAACCTGGATCCTATAGTTTAGCAAGTTCATGAGAAGGTTCAGGTGGAGAGAAGGAAGAATGCAATAGTGAAGTTCAAACACAAAGGTACGCGTGCTCCAACTCCTACTGACCGCGCCTTACGATCTAAGACAAAGGTATCTTCAAGCTCGTCTGTAGCATTGTCCAATGATTAATTTCCTTTTTTGGAATATTCGAGGTATCTCTCGTGCCCCAAATCTTCGTCGTTTAAAAAGACTTATTGCTGATTACTCTATTCAAATAATTGCGATTTGTGAACCTAAGGTACCTGTGGTAGATGCCCAGCTTTTTAGGGTCAAATTGAAGATGGATGGTTGTATTGTTAATAACGAGGGTTCCCTACGGGTGTTTTTTCAAAGGTCATTTATCTGTGAACATATTGGAGAATCTAATCAACATTTGTCTATTAGAATACGGTCTCAGTTGTCTCCTGAGTCGCTGGCTTTCTCTTTTGTACATGCAAAGTGTACTGAACAAGACAGAGCTTCCCTTTGGGCGGCGCTATTGGCAGACAACCCTATGGATTGCCCGTGGTTCCTAGTCAGGGATTTTGTTATTGTTAGTGGGGAGGAGAAAAGAGGTGGCTTACCTTTTCGACCGCAGGAGTGGTTGGATTTTCTTTCGTTTATGGCGATGGCAGGTGTACAGGATGCTGGATTTTCAGGCTCTCGTTTTGCATGGTGCAATAATAGAGGTGGGAGAGCTCGAATTTGGAAACAGTTGGATAGAATGCTCTTTTCATCAGGCGGCGTCTACCTTACCCTTGAGCTTTCAGGTGCAACATTTAGGGAGAGACCCCTCAAATCATGCATCCCTCCTATTGTCTGCTGCGACTAGGCTTGATAATAAACCAAAAGCGTTCCAGTTTCTAAACATTTGGACGTCTAGACCAGAGCTTCTGGAGGTAATTCGAAGAGGTTGGGATGGGTCTTTTGAAGGGCCCTCGATGCAGCGGCTGGCTGCCAAATTGTGACAAATGAAAAATACATCCAAGTTGGTCCCGGGAGCAGTTTTGAAATATTTTTGATGCGGTGCAGAAGGCTGAGGAGGTGGTATTAATGGCAGAAGAGCGGTGTGATAATGACCCCTCTGAACCCAATTTGATAGCACTGCAAGAGGCTCGCGCGGTACTAAGGAATGCTTTTTTTGTAGAGGAGGGCTATTGGAAGCAAAAGGCGAGAGTCAAGTGGCTAGAGGATGGAGATAGGAATACAAAGTATTTCCACGCGATGGTTGCAGAAAAGAGAGCCAAGTCGGTTATTCATCGCATTAAAATCCAAATCGGGTTTGGCTAGCGGAGGAGAGTCAGATTGCTACAGAGGCGGTCCATTTCTTTGAACACATGTTTTCAACTGATCCTTGTTCGAGGTCATGGGGCACTTTTGATGTAATTCCTAATATACTGTCTCAAGAGCAAAATGAGGAACTGGCACGTGTCCCATCCTTGGAGGAGATTCGAGAGGTTTGTTTGTGATGAATGGTGAGAGTGCGCTGGACCAGATGGTTTTACAGGGAAATTCTTTACCTTCGCCTGGGACGTGGTAGCCAAAGATGTCTATGAAGCGGTGGGCAGCTTTTTCTATGGATTTGAGGTGCCTAAGAGTATTACTTCGACACTGATTGTGCTCATTCCAAAGGTCAGTGCCTCCCAAGACTTTAGTCAGTTTCGGTCAATAAGTTTGTGTAATTTTGTTAACAAGGTCTTGTCAAAAGTTCTGACGGTTAGATTGGCGAAGGTATTGCCTTGTATTATTTCGCCTCAACAAAGTGGGTTCGTTAAGGGGTGCCAGATTTTCGACAATTTTCTGTTAGCTCAGGAGATAGTATCAGATATTGGGAAGTCTACTAGAGGGGGTAATATTGTCCTAAAGCTGGACATGGCCAAGGCATATGATAGGGTCTCCTGGCCTTTCTTGATGCAAGTGCTTAGACGTTTCGGGTTTAGTGAGGTTTGGATATATATGGTTTGGAGGTTGATTTCGAATGTTTAGTTCTCAGTTATTATTAATGGGGCGCCTCAGGGTTTTTTTAAATCTAGTCGGGGACTTCGCCAAGGGATCCGTTGTCTCCATCTCTCTTTGTTATAGGTGTCGAAGTTTTGTCTCGACTTCTAAATTTGTTGGGGGGCGGCGGGGTTTTGTTCCTTTTAAGATTCCCGAAGGTGCCCGTGGTTACCCATTTAGCATATGCTGATGATTATCATTTTTTTCGAGTGCCTGAAGAAGTCGGGACAGAAGGTCAATTATAGTAAGAGTTGTTTTTTGAATCATGCTAATCTCTTGGGTGTACGAAGGCGTTTGTCACACAAATCACTGGTTTTTCATGCCAATCCTTCCCAGTAAAGTACTTTGGGTGCCCTTTATATTCTGGGAGATGGAAGAAGAGTCATTTTTCAGCTCTATGTACTTCAGTTGTGAATAGGGTGCTTTCATGGAAAGAGAAATTGTTATCGTATGGTGGCAAGTTGGTTTTGATACGGAGTGTGTAGTCGGCTATGCCTACCCATGTTCTTGCGGCATCCAACCACTTACGAGGATACTACACCTGTTGGAGAGTATATTTACAAGCTTTTTATGGGGCGAGTCTGACTTTGGGCCACGGCTTCATTGGATCAAATGGGACCAGTTGTGTAAGCCTTATGGGCAGGGAGGTGTGGGATTATGGTCGTTACAGTATGTCTTTGATGCATTTTCTCTGAAACTGTGGTGGAAGTTCAGATAGAGGCAATCGTTACGGGCAGAGTTCATGCATTCGAAGTATACCTTGAACTTGCACCCTTGCTACGCAGAGGCTTGCCCAGGGCAATCTGCTACATGGAGGAGGATGTTGGGACTCTCAAGTGGTGGCTGAGAGGCATATAAGATGGATAGTAGGTAGTAGCAACTCAAGTTTTTGGCACAATAATTGGTTAGGATCAAGGCCGCTGTGTCGACAAGTGGATATCTTTCAAGAACAACCAATTGCAGATTTCGTAGCTTAAGGTTGCTGGAATGTGCAGAGGTTATATCAGGTTTTGCCTATGCACTGTGTGCAGTGGGTCTTGGATGCTGCTCCACCATTCTCAGGTCAGGCGGACGAAATGATTTGGGCTTCGAGTACCTCGGGTGAGTTCTCTACAGCATCAGCCTATCAGGTGTTGCAGCAATGTGGTAATACTTCCAGACTCTTCTCCTTTCTCTGGCATCGGGTCTTATCTTTGAAGATATCCTTTTTTATGGTGCGGTTAATGAGGGGCAGGCTACCGGTTATGGATGAATTGCATAAGTTTGGTGTAGTGGGCCCGTCTCGGTGTTTCTGTTGTTGTGTGCCCGACTCAAGAGACTGTTAACCACATTTTTTGTACTGGTGAGGTTGCTAGACAGGTCTGGAGCTTATTTGAGGTGTTGATTGACGGGTTTGGTGAAGCCTTTACGATTAGGCATAAGGTGATGAGTTGGTGGCTAAAATCTTGTAGAGGCCTCTATCTTAGCTTAGTATTTCGACTTTTGCCCTCACTGATTTGTTGGAATTTCTGGAAAGCAAGAAATAAGTTTGTTTTTGAAGGGAAGCTGTTGACTGTGAAACGAGTTTGTGACCGAGTTTTTTTTGAGCTTCGAGAGAGCTTTAACAGTCAGTTCCAGGAGATTAGTCCCCCATGTTCATCGTGGCCTAATTTCTTTGATGCAGTAGCTAGGTGGAGAAGTGTTGTGAATGTGGTGCAGGTTAGATGGAGGTGCCCGGTGCAAGCAATCGTTAAGTTAAACTCATATGGATGCTTAAGGGGCAATCCTGGGAGGAGTGGAGGAGAGGTTTGTTCAGGGATAGTGATGGGAGGGTGCTGGTGGCTTTCTCCTGTTACTTTGAGGAGTTGACCAGCTTACAAGCGGAGGTGAAAGCGCTGCTTCATAGGGTGCGCTTAGGTATAGCGCGAGGACTGGCCAATTTTCATGTGGAGTCTGACTCGTTGGTTCTTATCCAGATTATGCAGGGAGAGCTAAGTGTCCGTGGATGGTGCAGCGGGAGTTACAAGAATTGGCGCAGTATGGTCATCTCTACATCGAGATATCATATTGTTTTCGAGAAGCGAATAAACCTGCGGATAGACTTGCTAAGCTTGGGGCTGATTCTAGGGAGTTAGTAGTGTATGATTCCATCCTTGACCTTCCCCGTATGGTTAGAGGAGATGTTACTTTAGATAGGTGGGGTAGTCCTAGTTTCCGTAGGGTAGATATAAAGGGTAACTTTGGCTAATCGGTCACGCAGGCTGGGAGGGGTATGTCTCTCTATGTACTTTGGACTTCTATGTCATGTATTACTTAAAAAAAAAACCGAAGGAAGGATTTAGAATTTGTGGTTGGAGACCAAGTTTTTCTTAAGATTACTCCTCTGAAAGCGAGTTTG